ACATCCAGATACGGGGGTGGTGGTGCGGTCAAAAAAAAACGCAACACACAAAATCTAAGCAAATAACCAAATAGTAAAATATTTCTTTTCGAATTTTCGTTAGTCCGAGAAATACTCAACACTGGGATGTATGTGTAAACGATTAATTACTCAATTGAAATATAATTCCCAACACCAGGAGGTCATTCGTTGATTTTTGTTTTTTTTTAATACAATGTATTTTAATATTACCTGGACAGAACAACACTGATGTAAAAAAAAAAGTTCTTAATATCGGAGATAGAAAGTTTATAGGCATGAACAGTGTGGACGTAGCAATCAATACTGTATGGTGACTTATAAGACCAATACATTGATACATACATATGTACAGATAGATAGAATGATGGATGGATACACACAGACACACACACACATACATAAACACATGGATATATATATATATATATATATATATATATATATATATATATATATATATATATATATATATTTGAAGGGAGGCAGGCAGGAAGGAAGGAAAAAATTCATGCTAATATTTTTTTTTCTTTTCAGATGATAAATTATATAAAAACTGCCCGAATGTTCTTTTTATCCGAGCGGTTTCGGCTATACATTTAGCCATTTTCAAAAATTAAATATTTTAACTTTATTTATGCGCTCGGATAAAAAGAACATTCGGGCAGTTTTTATATAATTTATCATCTGAAAAAAAATTATTAGATCACATGAGAAGTTGTATAAAAACTAAATGAAAGCACCTTGTCTGTCCTATTCAATGAAATATATATATATATATATATATATATATGATAAAAAATATAGTTTAAAGATATGGTGTATTTATGGGTTAAAGTTCAATATCAGGGATAGAGCGTATGTAAAATATAAAAGTGGACATTGTTGTTTTTTTATGCATAGACGCCAATCGTCAGGCCTGGTGGTGGAGTCTAAATATGAAAGAATTTTAAATAATGAAGAAGGACTGTTGACCTCAATGCCCATATATATATATATATATATATATATATATATATATATATATATATATTTATGAATTAATTGATTTAAAACATTTTTTCGCTACACAAAAGTTCTAACCATGTTTCAAAAATAGAAGCTAAATGTAAAATAAAAATATCTATAAAACACCGGATTATATATCTTACTGTTCTTTCTTTTATTTATATATACATTCATATATATATATATATATATATATATATATATATATATATATATATATATATATATATATATATATATATATGTATATAATATATATATTTTGGCACATCATTGTCTAGGAAAAATGATAAACACACCAATTTTTTGTCTTAGAAAAAACTAGACCCTGATGACGACATTGTGCTAATTTCAAAATTACTCGGAATAAAATGAATATATATCAAAATGGTAATTTTCTTTCTTCCTTTAATAACGATACTAAGTAACTGCCCGTAATTACGAGAGGATCCTATTGAAATTAAGTAGACAAAATTCATCTGAATTATTTAATGATACATGTCTTAATATAAATATATATATAAAAGTCTAGCTTCATCTCTTACAAGGCGAGTAGATACACTACACAGATAGACACACAGACACACCTATATCAAACAGACTGTCGGCGCTTTTCTATTTACGCATCCTCTGTATATGATATTGAACACTTTTACCCATAAATATAGCATATCTTAAAAAAGAAAACTATTATTATCCTCTGAATTCATTACTTAGTATCTTTCCTACCTTCTTTGGTTTAATCCTAATAATCTAGGAGGCTAACACTTTTTAACTCATTACTGCACGGTGGACATTATTTTCGAGAAGTTGATTACCTAAATTTTCAAATCAGCCATCACTACTTTTAGACAGTTAATTAGGGCAAAATCAACAAATATTTGGAAAAAAAAACTTTAGACCGTATGAGTTAATTTCGTTGTTATTATTATTATTATTATTATTATTATTATTATTATTATTATTATTATTATTATCCTATGTTTCCTGCTTTTTATCCTATAGAGCCGGGTCAAAACTATGATCCTTGGGCATTATAGGAGAATTCTAATTTAATTCATAGCATTTTTTTAGTATATGAGATGTTCCGAGTTGGGCGATTTTCTGGGTAACTTTTATGTTCATATTACCTGGGACACTCTTAGTAAAATTGTCCATTGATTTTCTCACGAGACCCAGAGCTCCGATTACTATTGGTACAGTCTCATTTTTTCATTCACCACATCCTGTTAATTTCGATCTCTAGGTCCTTGTATTTCTTAATAATTTTCATGGAGGTGTTTATCTCAGATCGTACTTCAAATAATATAGACTTCCTGAATTTCTTGTCTTTTATGATAACATCAGGTCTGTTGTTGGCTTTTATTTTTCTGTCTGAATTGACATTTGCCAGAGGATAGTTACATCATTATTTTGGGTAACTGTGTCTGGTTAGAAGCCATACCACTTCTCAGTGGTTTCGACTTTGTGCTTCTTGCATATCCTCCACTTCACATACAGGGCTTGAACAAAATAATTGAAACATTTGTTAAATTCAAGAAAATTTATTTAATATGTTGGTCCTCCTTTAGCCTCACAGACAGCTTTAATACGTCTAGGAATGGAATCATACGGCTTCCAGACTTCATCCAGAGGAATTTTCAGTCATTCTTCCATTAAAACCTTCTCCAGCTCTTTACGACACAACGGTGGAGGATAGCGGCTCCTAACTTGTTACTCCAAAATGCAACACAAATGTTCAATAATATTGATATCTTGAGATTGAGGAGGCCACTCCATGTGTTCTAGTTCACTTTCATGCTCTTCATACCAATTCTTAATCACTCGAGTGGTATGTATTGGAGCATTATCGTCTTGGAAGATGCATTCACCATCAGGGAATAAAGTCTTGGCCATTGGATGAACATGATCTTAAGGATTTTCACATGAGACATCCGGGGAAGAACCGTACGAAAAGCCTCATGCGCTGCTATGTTTATTGGTCAAACATGGACAAGGACATAGCAGACATGACAGAATCATGCAAAGGATGCCCGCTTGCAGCAAAAGCTCCAACCACGACGTGCAAACCATGGCCAAACACAGACCATCCATGGCAAAGAATTCATGTCGATTTTGCAGGGCCTATAGACAACATGTACTACCTCATTGTTGTGGATAGCCACTCAAAATGGCCTGAGGTCCTACAATGCAAAAGACCAACCACAAACTGCACGATCGGATTTCTACACGAGCTATTCACGCGTTTTGGCGTGGTAGATTGTGTAGTTACAGATAATGACACTCAATACACATCAAGTGAATTTAGAGACTTCTGCAAGTCATATCAGGTAGACCACATTACAACGCCTCACTACCACCCTAGGTCGAATGGCCAGGCCGAAATGTTCGTGGACACTCTAAAAATGGCTTTAAAAAAGGTACTAGGCACACCGACAGATAGAGCATTGCAACAGTTTCTAATCCGAACACGCCCATGGGAAGCTCGCCTGCAGAAACAATGTTCGCAAGGAAAATCAAGTCTGTCTTCGACAAATTTATTCCACGGCAAGCAAAGTTCAAAAAAACCGTATCGCCTCATCAGAAATATTTCAATCCTAGCGATAAAGTCTTTTTCAAGGCTTACAAAAACAACATAACATTCTGAGAAGTAGGGACCATAAAACAAAGAACTGTCTAAGGACCGAAAAACACTCACAAACGCCAACCAGCTCAGAAAATGCCGTTTGAATGAATCGGAGGAATCACTACAAAATAGCTGTGAAGAGCCGATCGACGTAATTTTCGATCACTTCGATCTCGACACGCCCCAAGTCTCTCCTGAAGTGCGACGCTCACGAAGGAAAAGGAAATTTAACCGCTCGACGTAAATCCCAAGAGAAAAAAGTATTAACAGTTTTATGTTTTTTTTCTCTCCTATTCAAAAAAAAAAAGAAAAAAAAAAGAAAACTCTTGGAAGGGGGGGTGTTGTGAGACCGTAACATACCTACAACATGGACTCTTCCAGGACTATATAAAGTATGCGATATAACACTCTAATAGAAGAAGTGGAAATAGATAAGAGAGTATTCTAATACCGTTGTATCAGCCGCGTACGACTCCCAATATTGGACACTAGCACATAGTAAGCTCCGCTTACACTTACACTATCTTTGTAACCTTTTTGTTTAATATATCTTTCTTACCTCTAATCCGTGTTCCGTGTTTTCTTTCCGTGGTCCCAACTTTGGACCCATATCAACCATGCAGGGCAACTATTGGGCTGAGACATTTCCATTATATGGCGGCCCAAACTATCACTGATCCACCTCCATGCTTCACTGTTGGAAGAAGGCAGTCAAGGTTGTAAGCTTCCTTGGGCTGCCTCTACACATAAACTCGCCCTGAAGTTAGGAAAAAAGAAAAACTGGACTTGTTTGAGAATATGACTTGCTTCCATTGGTCTGCAGACCAGGCATTGTGATTTCTGCTCCACTTCAACCTCTTTTGAATGTTGCGAGTGGAAAGAAGAGGTTTCCTCACAGCGGCTCTTCCATGATATGCAGCCTTATGGAGCTCACAGTGAACAGTTTTTATAAAAACTGAACTATGCAGATGATTATTCAACTCAGCAGTCACTTTGGCTGCATTTGTCTGATGATTTTTTGCCATATTGCGTTTCAATGCACGTCAGTCCCTGTCAGTAAGTTTGCAAGTCCTGCCCGAATTGCTACGGTTGCTAGAGGTCTTGCTCTGTTTCTCGAATTGCATCAGTGTTCTTGATATGGTAGTTCTTGAAAAACCAAACAGTTCAGTAACCTTAGTGATCAAGTCTCCTGCCATGCGAGCTCCAACAATTTGCTCTTTTTCGAACTCGGAGAGGTCACTCATTTAGCTTAAATTTTACTAAATTCTAAAAATAAATAACACAAAGACAGTAAGTTTGATAAATAAACGTATTTACAATAGATATAACCTGCAATTACAAAGTTTTA